GCTCGACATTAATGAAAATACCCCAAAAAAATTAGTTCATGTGTGTATGTACGTACATGGAACGTACACATCGATTAGACCAGCTGGGGATTTATTGTTAAAGGATATGAAAAACTTAATAAAAAAGAGTTGAAGTGCAAACCTCCTCAGATTTTAAAATTCGATGCAGGATGTCTGTTAACTGGGACATTTTGGTTCCAAATTATAAGGCCCAACATTAATTAAGAACTTAATATATATAGCAGAATCATCTCTGCATCAGAGATATGTTCCCGAAAATATCCAGAAATATTGCGAACAAAAAAACAGAATCCCCAAAAATTGCTGAAAAGGCAAAAATAACCTGAAAATGCAATACGTATGTATATACAAAAAATCCCGAAAAGTTGGAATAAAATATGGCAAACCCAAAAAAAACATCCGGAAACGTACCTGTAGTAATATTAGATATATTTGTATTTAGAAGAATAAAACAGGTCATTTCAAAATCTTTTTTTTTTTATTTTAATTTTAATTTTATCGATCAAAAATAATCGTTAAAATTGGATTTTTATCTTTTTTTTTTATCAAAAATGTTAGCAAATTTTGGATTTAAATTTGTTCGATAATTTTTAACCGTTAATGACAGATTTAAATGTTTTATGATTTAAAAAATTATATATGAAAAATTGCGACTATCCTCGATCGAAAAAAAATCATAAAATAACTGCTAAGTTTCATCGGAAAAGCAGAAATCCAATTTTAAAAATTTCCAAATAAAAATGCAGTACTACCCTAATAACAAAACAGGATAAATACCGAAAAGTAATTTCAAAAACGCGAAAGGGTGTGAAAAAATTCAGAAACATTCAGAAAAATAAAACAAGAAAAATTCCTAAGAGTCCAGAAAAAATCACCAATTTCACATGCTTCGGTTTCCGGTTAACCAGAAGCTAGTTTTCCGGCGCAAGGTATCCATATTAGGGCGGAGTAATTTGAATTTGTGCCAACTAACGCCAATTGGCGATGCCATATTTTGGCTAGATGTATGAACTTTACTATAGCAAACTTTTCGATCAAGTGGCATAAAGAACATAGCGTCAATATTAGCACTGAGATCAGGCCAATGGATAAATACTGGGCTATTATGAAAAAGAAATTGCTGCTTTATGAGCAAGTTGCCATCAACGAAGAGGGTCTGCAAAAAAATGGGTGAAGGTGTCGTCGGAGGTAAGACGAAATGAACTGCAGCATCTAATGAGGAGAGTTAATTCCAAACTGCGAGCTTCCGCATATTCCGCGATCATATGGAGAAAAATGTATATCATATAAAATCATAGTTTCGTTCTTTTAGAATAAGCATTCTAAATACGGATTTTGTTTGAAGGATCAGTTTTTTTCGTTTCAAAAGAGTCGCGATAAAAATCTCGAAAAGGCTCAAAAACAGCCCGCAAAAATACATTTTCCATTGATACCGAAATTTTTCTTTCCCTTGACCACTTCATGGACCGCGAATTAAGCTGCTCACTTTTCGGGAAAATCACTTGAGAGGCTTTGTTGTGCAACCGGCGTATTTAATTGCAAAGGCTTGGCGAATACCATTCAATAACTTTCTTTTACATTTTCCATTCCTTTCAGTGTATTTCCAATAATTTAGAATCTCATCACAAAGTGTAGTATATGTTTATTAGTTCAAACGTGCATCTGCGAATTGAGGTAGCTATCTTAAACTTGCACCAATTGGGCGCAGAAAATTTACTCTATACTTTCTTTCTAAGGCTTAATACTTGTTCTATTTCCTTTGCTTTCCCCCCGTCCCACTCTCTGATCTCATTATTGTTAGGTATATTCTTAATTTTTAAGTTATTGTATTCCATGTTACTAAGGTAGTGTTTAATTTTTATGTACAACACTATAAAAGACTATGTCTTATTTGTGTATAAATTAATAAATGAAAATGAAATGAAAATTCCTCGGAAAAATTTTACAACTTTTACAATTTTCCCATTTCTTTTACCAAAGAAAATTTAGTTATTTTTCATTCGAAATCCAATACGATTTTCCTTACTTCACAAACCTTGGCAAAATAGAAGTAGAAATTATGATCCTTGATATTCTACATGAAATTTCTGTAATCATTATTGCCTAGGATTATCATCATTATTTTTATCATTGGCATAGACGTACCAAAAAAAAAAGAGCACAGAACTGTGAAAAATGAGTTTAATACCTTCAGCCATTTAAATAGTATATTTATATGTGTGCGGTTTTTAAGTAAACACCTAAATATGCACATAAAAACGCAAATATTATGTATGTTTTTATTAGTAATGTTAATCTCGGGATAGCGGGATTATTTGCCTAGAATCCTGAGATTTTCGTTATTTGTAATTTACACTGGTGTCAATAATAGAAACGCCTTATTTGACCGGTTTTGGCTATATTTCTTTTGCTTATTCAATATTTAATGTTTAATATTTAATATATAATATTTAATATTTTTTTTATAAATGTGTAACTCGTAATACATATAAGACCTTGCGACAGGTAATTTAGCTAAAAAAATAAATTAAAAATCAATATATTCGCGAAACTAAGAGCCAAATATAGTAAAATTGCGCTCTTAATTTTTCTCTGTGACGTCAGGTTTTTTAAAAGAACTTTAAAATGTGAAAGATATGAGCAATTAAATTTTTTTTTTTAATTTTAGTGCAATGTACTTAAAAAACCAGTATGGGTATTAAATGAGAGACAGAATTCTGTAATGTTAAAAAGGTTTACATTTTTGGCGCGGGACGGGTAGGCATTGAAAATACCCTTTTATAAATTTATCCTTGAATATCCTTGAAATTTTGTAATTTTTATTTTTGAAAAAGTTATATGTTAAGGACTAACTTTATTAGCTTAAAAAATAAAATATATTAAAGTGGCATTTTCAATTCCTATTCGTTTTTGTGAACCTCAAAAAGTCTTTCATTTGGTACCCATATTTTTGTTTTCCATTGCACTAAATTTTTTAAATAAATAAGTTTTGGAATTGATCATATCTTAGAAATTATAAATTCTTAAACAAAAAATCATGACGTCAGAGAAATGCCCAATTATATGCAGTTAATTAGATGAAATATGAGGTAGACTTAAAAGAAAACATGAATATTTTGAATAAACAAAAGGAATATAGAAATAAACTGGTCGAATTAAGGCGCTTCTTTTATTTCTGCCACTAATATTATGAACGTCTTTCAACCAGAAAATAAAATTCTTGACTTAATATTTTTTGCATCGAGCTTTTTTCGACATACTTTAAATAAGTTTATCAGATATGTATACGCTGAAATTTTAGTAAATGCATATTAATTTAATTAATGTTTTTCTTTTTGGTAGTTATGAAATAATTTTCACTTTAAATAAAAAAGTACGCTCCAAACGCATTTACTCATTATTTATTATATGGTAGGAGAGCTTCTCAAACTATATTGATGCAATTTTTTCATGTAAAGTTGTTGAAAAATAATAAATATCTAAATCCCGGAATTAATCCCGCGATCCCAGGATTGACCCACGACATCTCGAAAATCCCGGGATCGTAAAAATCGAAAAGCTCACATCCCTAGTGTGTTGTGTGTATATTAGGGCTGTGCGATTAATTGATTACTCAAAATTTTAATTAATCATAAAGTAAATAACTCAATTATTCGATTAATTGGAAATTATGATTACTCAAAAGTTCAGTTACTCGAGTAATCAAGATTTTGATTAAACCAAAAACAAAAATATTTGAGTAATTTGCTTTATGATTAATCAACATTATGAATAAAATGAGTAATGAACATTTCAAAGTACTCTTTACATACATACATATAAAGCAGTTGAAGTTCCTTGATACTTTGAAAAAAACGTTTCTCTTTTCAAAAATTAAAATGAAATACATACATACATACATATTTTTTTCATATACAGAATATAAAAAAGAAAATAAGCATTTTCCAAAGCAAACTCTTTTAACGAGCAAAATTAATTTTTTTGAGTAATCATATTTCAAGTCACTCGATTAATCATCGTTTTGAGTAATCAAAATCTTGATTACTCGAGTAATTGATTAACCGAATAACTGATTAACCAACTTGCTCGAGTAATCGAATAATCGCACAGCCCTAGTGTATATGTATACCCATATCTGGTTTAAAATCCACCCACTGCTCTTCACACATTTATCGTATTGGATTTTGTATGGAAAATGCATAAAAGTCATTCAACCATTTGAATAGCAACATTTGGCATTGCTTTCTCATTTTGGACATTTTTTGAAAATCTTATAATATCAACAACATATGTACATATATGTGTTGGCTTAACGCACATCTTATTAAATGCATACTATACATGCAAATACATACTATATCCACAGCTAACGTGTACAAGCTTTAGCCCGTAGCAAATCCACACGCAAATATACTATGCTTTTCATACGTATGTATGTACATTTCGCATGCAATTGCTTTTTATGTGTATGTCGACACTGGCATTCAAATAAAGTGTCACGCATTTGACATTTGTCTGTGACATTGTGGCATTTGTATGGCATATGGCAATGTATGCGTTGCTTTCATTTTGCATTTTTCAGTCCAAGAGAACGTACATTCGTAAGTACCTTCGACAGATTATTTTCTACATTTGTTGGTGTGTATGTAAGTGTGTGCGAGGCGCCGCATTGCTTTTGGCTGGGTGTATTTTGTTGCCTGTCTTCACGTGTTCCGCTTTATTTAGCATGATTTTAGGTGTGAAATTCGCGTGAATGAGCGCCTGTGTGGCTGAATAAATGGGTTATTGTGCAATGAATTGGGTGCAAAGAAACAAATGACGAAATCCATAAAAAACGAAGAGGTGGCGGTACGAGCATTTTCCAATGGTTTTTCTGCATAATAACCAGCAAATGGCGTGGATAATTACGAAGAAATATTTTTTTTTTGTGATTTTTTCTTTAGTTTTATATTAAAGTAGCAAATGTATGTGTGACTTACCTTATAAATTCCGAATATGAGCATAACACTTAGCACTATCATGGACATTTGTGTGCCAATAATGGCGAAATATGCTATTTGAACACCTGAAAGGAGAGGTAAAAAAATGATGAATTTAAAAATTGCTTGTTTTTAGCACTATAATGTTAAAAAAACCTAAGTTTTGATATGATATAAAAAAAAAAGATCCAGGAAACAATTTTACTCATACGCCACATCGTACATGACGTATGCAAGACATTTTCCATGTTAACGTTTGAATTTATTTTTTCAGTCGCAATGCAAACATAAAATGAAAATATCTTTGGAAAATTATCGGACCTAGAAAATCGGCATAAAGATCTGTAATCTGTAACACAAAATTAAATTTACGTGTGTCGGTCTTTTTGTGTATCATTTTAGCGTCTCTACAATGTAATTAGCAAGGTATATTTTTTATTTATTTGATATTACTTTCCATTATGAGATGGAATGATCTCGAGAAAATGTATCAAATTTAGATATTTTTTGCAAATGAAGAATCACGTTGCACAGTGCTACAGCCTCATATATATATTTTTTTTAATTAGAAGGATTCGGCGTAGAACCAAAATTTTCCGTATGTAATATTTATGGACACAAACATAGAAGACAATAAACGAAAATAAACTTAACTTCAAAAATTACTTAAAATGCCCTAAAAAGCACGCCAATGAATATATGACAACAAAATTTTGTGCATATATTTTTAATGTTATTAACATATTTTTTGTCCATCAAAAGTATCAAATTTAGCATTTATAAAGTGTCATTTTTGTCTGCTTATATTTATTAAAATATTTGGTCTATTACCCTGATTTTTCTAAAGGAAAATATTACTATCTACTATAATGGTTCTTGAGTACAAGAGTTTAAAAACAGCCAAATTTTAGAATTTAATTAAATACTAATACATTTTGTTCTCACACACACTTACCATAGTAAACATCCTCCAGCGTCTCCGCTTTACGCATATTCACATTTATACGCCATGAGTATATTAAAACGATTAAAAGTGACATATTCTGAAAAAAATAAAATAAAATTAATGAAAACAAAAATAAACAACACATTAAATATTGGTTGGTATGTAGATAGTTATTATTGCGATAAATAATTGCGCTGAATAAGTAATTAATGTGTCATTAAATGCACTCAAACTCTGCGGACCGCATGTCACTCATACGCCATGGCAACATACGCACGCAAACCACTTAACTTGCTTTTTTTCAATGTTTTAATTATGCATATACCGCATTTCAAAATAAATGAAAATTGCACGGTGGAGGAGTCGTAGAGGGGCGTACAATAAAAACTGTAAAATAATTTATAGCGCATAATTTAAATGCTGTTAATTAGGATAATTGATGTCATTAATGTAATTAACGTATCACAATGAGCCATAAATTAATGGGCATATAACAACATACGTGCACAAATATGTACATACGTATATGTGAATGTATGTGCGTATCAAATACATATGGGCATGGATATGTGTCTTTATAAAAATTTTTGAATGCATGCAGACGACCATATAACAACATAGCGTAGAAGTTGGAAAAGGCCGCATACATTATCTTCAGGCGGTTGAAAAGTTTTTTTTTTTTTTGAAGTGAAAGTTCTTATGCGGCGGTATCGAAAAAATGGAGAGTGAAATTTTTAAAACTGAAAACGTTACATGAGTGAGAAGGAATATATAGGTAGTATAGGGAAGGAAAAAAAGAAATAAAGCGACGCATGACGGGTACGAGTACCTACATATGTATATAAATATGTATGTTTGAATGCACGTATGTATGTATACATATATATACATATACATATATATGAACGAACTCATTGCGCATTTGAGCTCTGCCGCTACCAAGCAATATATGTATAAATGATGCAAGCGTGCTTCGCGTAACTACATCCATTCGTACATATATACATATGTTTGTATGGATATATTTATGATGAGGACTTGAAGAAGGTTAAAATGATTACTATTCTCAACTGAAGTAACTCTTAAGTTAGATTTCCAGCTACCCGACCAGTGCTGCAGTGCATTTTAAGCGGAAGTGCTCGTCACTCCAGATTCAACATAAAGCCACGGTAAAGGAACAAGTGGTTGGCAAGGCTTGGTAAGGCAGCTTTGAAAGATTTGGACTCAAACAGAGACAATGAAAATTTTTTACTTGGCCAGACTTGACTTGACTTCACTTGCCTTAAGAAAGGGGCATGGGATTTTACTCGTAAACCCTTTTAAGCACCTGGCATATTCTATTTATTTCTCTATAGCAACTGGTTCGCGCTTCACTGAAAATAACGTCCATAATTCTAATCAGTCTTTTCTACGGAGGCAACACTCTTTTTAAAATACCATCGAAAATATTCAGCAAAAATATTTGTCAAATTAAATTTTCCCCCTCGAATTATGCTGAGGTATTTTTTACAAGATTATATTATTTCTATCAAATATATAAAACTCAATTCAGATTGCAAAATTAAACACGCGCATGCATCACGCGCTTGCTATTTGGGGGGATACATCGAAAAAAAATCAAACATTTACACGCAAAATGCAACAGTAAAAATTTTAACTAAGCACGCATCCTAAGCGCTGAGCCTGAACATGTTCGCTTTAAAATGTATGTCACCTGCCACATGCCAGGCGCATTAAAATCGCACAAATTTAATTTAATTTAATTTAATGCCATTTATGCACAGAAACTACATGTACGGTGGCGTGTAGTTGGGGCCAACATGGCGTATGCGTGATTTTGGGGCTATGTTGATTTTATTTTCGTACATTTTTGCCTTTTCCCTCGCTTCTTTCGCTTGCTCATGCTGGGGCACAGTAAAACGAGGACAGGCGAATATATGTATATTCAATATTCAAATGTAAATATGTTTGTACAATGTACATATATCTATGCCTGCATTTCAAACACACATGCACGCACAACAAAAAAGCCCAGCTAAACCGATTTTTTTCCACTTTTGTTCGCGCTGCTCATGCCACTTCTCCCCCCTCACTCACTCAACCACTCACTCAGCCATGTCACTCAGCCGTTTTTAATTTCGTTTCATTTCATTCCTTTGTTTCTTCAGCTAAATTTCAAAAAAAATTTTTTTTAATTTTTTGTTGTTTCCTGTAATTTCATTCAAATTATACTCACAATTGTGTAAATCGCACTTGTTAACGCCAAATTTTTCGCATGCAACATCCGACAACATCCTGTCCCCGTTAGCGGTCCATATGGATACAATATCACCGATTTCATTTTCTCACCCGCACCCACACCGACACCAGTTGCGGCTGCCGCCGCCGCCACAACACACGTTTTATGTTTGGCTTTCATTTTCATGTTTGTTCGGCTGTGTTGTTGATGTGCTTTTTATTGTAGTTTTAGCTTCTTTGGTATCCTTGTTGCTGTTGAAACTCACGCTTGTATTCGTGACACCTTTTGCTGGCTTGGCTTGCGACGAGTTTCTGCTGACTGGTGTGCTTCTAATTCTTGCTTTTATTGTTGTTCTTGTTGCTGCTCTTTATGCGGTATATGCAAATAGTGATGCTTTGCTGTATGCCACAGTTGGCATTAGCGTGGCATAGATGCCACACACAAGCTGACGCCCACACTTTTTGAAAAGAAGCAGCTAAGCAACTATTAGCTTCAGGCTTTACTTTGCAAACTGGTGTTTCTTTGTTTTTTTTTTCGCTCTTCTCTCTTGCTTTCTTTGCAGTATGCTTTCACATTCTTTTGATAAAAAAAAGTATTTTTTCAGCTTGCGACACAGTCTCTAACATCTGCTCTGCTGCGGGTGGTTAAGTATACGCCATGCGATCGGTGATAGACCAAATTTCATGCGAATTTTAGATCCAAAAACTGTTATTTCGCACATTTATGGAAGAAATGTGAATGGCAAGAGCCTTTGGTAACCAAATTAGTGCTGCAATAAAAAATTTGTGTTTTTTTTTTTTTTAATTATTAGGAGTTCAGAATTTTAGCTATATTTAGATACACAAATAAGTTTAAAGGAGACTTTTTTCAAAACTATTCTAAATACTATTTATATAATTTTTTTTTTGAGTTTCTATATTTTGTTTTAGCATCGTACAGATTTAGCGCGAAATTTATTACCGAAAACTTGCGCAAATATCCGTAAGCACAATATTGGTATCAAATTTGTCAAGAGATGGCGAAAAATCGTTCCACGTCATCTTCATACCCTGGCGCAAAGTGTACAAAAAGGAGCAGCTGCTGGAAAAATCGTTACCTGTAAATTTGTGTTTGGCAGTGTTGCCACTTTAAAAAAAATCATCACTGACTAACGAAGTAAGCTTACTTCGTATGGACGTTACGCCTTATGTGTCCGTTATTTGTAAAATATATGTTCAAATTTTTGTTGTGAGCTTTAGCCAAAAATTAGAGCCGATTAAAGAATCAAACTATTCTAATACGAGTGTGAATGCTATCGCAAACTTAAAATTAATTTATTATTAGGATTGCCATCTTTGGCCATAACCTTTTTTTACTTCTTAGTCAGCATTTTAAAATACAAATTGCATTGAATTGTACAAAAAGAATTAAACGAAACTTTTCGGACATGTAAGATGGCTTTTACCAAAAACTAAACAGTTATTCAAAAACACTTTAAAGGAAATTTTTCTATAGTGTACCATGCTTTAAAAAAGGGAGTACTGCAGGTAGAAGGGGCCGCCTACTTATTGTATCGAAAAAAAAAATTCAAATTTGTGAAACAAAATTGACCTCAAACGAAAGCACTTTAAGGATTAAGGTACTCGTTCTTTCCGTTTATATTTAGGGAAATTCCATAAAGCCAAAGTAGTACGAAATCTTTTAATTAACATCACATCGAATATTTATTCTTTGAGTGAAGAAAATGGATGTAAGAAGTTGGTTTCTTCTTCAGTAAAATTTTGAAAAACGTAAACGCAAAGCAGGCGATATATATTTTTTTGTGTAGAGTTGCCCCCTACACATATGGAAACGTATGTCTGTACAAATGTAAAAAATAAATTACCTAAAATAAAATTACTAAACAAAAATCTTGATACGGGCTACGAGTGCTTACTGAAATTTCGAATTTTTCTTTACCAGGGTTGCCAAGTTATTAAAAATCCAGATAGACTGAGGTAGTCAACTTTCCAAATATCAGTGAAGTTCATAAAAAGCTTTGAAAATCAAAACACTTTTAAAGTAGAGTTCCTACGCTTTCCAATATTTTTTTTTTATTTTTTTGTTTTAATTCAATTACAATAATTGATTCATGTTAACAGGGGCGCACCCAGGAATATATTTTAGGGGGGGTTTTATATTTCTTAATATATATCACCGGAAAATACTGAAAATTTGCTTCAGATAATACGCTCTTTGAAATACATTCATGCAAGTTTTATGTACAGTATGTAATAAATAAATAAACGTTTTAAAATCCATAAACTGCACTTTATTTACATAAGATTAACAGAACTCAAACACTTTTAACCGACTTCAAAAAAAGAGGTGGTTATCAATACGCCGGAATACATAACTTTTGACCACGTGAACCGATTTCAATAATCCTTTTTTTATTGGAAAGATGGTACCTCAAGGGTCGTCCCGTAATTTGGTTTAGAGATCCGATGATTGGATCACGAAGAAATTAACGGTACCCCTAAATTTGAAGTCGGTTGTGTCCTTTCCTTAAAAACTACTTGTTTAATAAAAAGTTCTATACACTCAAGATGCGCTCAACTTTTAAAAGTACCTAATTAAAAATTTTAAAAGAGTCAGTAAAAATAAATGTATTGATTCCATAAATTTTTGCACTTTTATGTTCATTTTTTCGATTTCTGGTTTCTGGTTTTCGATAGAGATGGTGAGTTTTCACGATTGCTACATTTTTTTACACCCGAGCGCACTTGTGCACAAGAGTATATTAATTTTGTTCACATAACGGTTGTTTGTAACAGCCAAAAGGAATCGAGATAGATATAGACAAATGTTTACATAAATGATCAGGATGAAAAAAGAAATCGATTAAGCCATGTCTGTCTGTCCGTCCGTCTGTCCGTCTGTCCGTGTCCGTCCGTCCGTCCGTCCGTCCGCGTACACGATAACTCGAGCAAAAATTGAGATATCTCAACGAAATTTGGTACGTAGGTTTTCCTTAATCCAAGGTAGGTAGGTATTGAAAATGGGCGAAATCGGATTGTAACCACGCCCACTTCCCATATAACGGTAATTTCCAGAAATACGAAAACTGCGATATTTTAGTAACTACTGAATATAATTCACTCAAAATTGATATTTACAATAATTTTTAGACGAAAAATAAGAATATTATACATTTTTGGAAAATGGGCGTNCAGCCAAAACGAATCGAGATAGATATAGACAAATGTTTACATAAATGATCAGGATGAAAAAAGAAATCGATTAAGCCATGTCTGTCTGTCCGTCCGTCTGTCCGTCTGTCCGTGTCCGTCCGTCCGTCCGTCCG